AAAAAAAAAAAAAAAAACCTTTAATTAAGGTACAGTTACATGCAATAAAATTAACCCATTCTACCTGTACAGTTTGAATTTTAGTAATGGTATACAATTGTGTAACTATAACTACAAACAATATATAAGACAGCTTCTTCATCCTAAAAATTGTCCTTATGCCTCTTTGTAGTTGATCCTGTCCCCATTCCTATCCCCCAACATCAATCTGCTTTTTATCACCACGGTTTGCCTTTTCTGGAATTTCACATAAATGAAATCATATAGTAGCCAGTATTTTGTTTCACTTCTTTCACTTAAATCACTTAGATTTATCTTAGTGTTACACACAACATATCTTGTGTGTATTGATATGTTCCTTTTTATTACTTATAGTATTCCACGGTATGGTTACACCACAATTTGTTTATCTATTTACCAGCTGAACATCTGAACTGCTTCCAATTCTGGGCTATTTTGAATAACACTGCTATGAATATTTGTACACAGGTCTTTGTGTAGTCATGTTTTCACTTATCTTGGATTGAAATTTCAAGGAGTGGAACTGCTGGATCATAGGATAAGTATATGTATAACTTTTTATGAGCCTACCATATCGTTTTATTTTCTTTTGTGACAGGGTCTCACTCTAACACAGGCTGGAATGCAGTAATGCAAACACTGTAGCCTCGACCTTCTGAGCTCAGGTGATCCTCCCATCTTAAGCATCCTTAGCTCTGACTGCAGGCTTGTGCCAGCACATCTGGCCGATATTTTGTATTTTTTGTAGAGAGGGGGTTTTGCCATGTTGCCCAGGCTGGAGCTACTGGGCCTACGTTATCCACCTGTCTCAGCCTCCCAAAGTGCTGGGATTACAGGTATGAGCCACCACACCCCGCCAAGCCTACTATATTATTATCTAATGTGGCTGTACTATTTTTTATTGCCATCAACAAAGTATGGGTGTCATACTTGCTTGACTTCATTAGCACTATGTCACAGGCTAAGTTAAACGTTTCCCACACTACCTTATGATTTTAAAAAGCAGATTCATTTACCTAATAAAATCTATATATAAATACTTTAAGTCCCATAAAAATATATAGCTTTCATAGATAGTAACATTAGCATTAAATTAGATAAATCAGTTCAAATTTACCTTTTTAAAATATCCTCTTCTTTTTATTGTGTTCTTACCTGAGCTGCTCAATTTTCTCTGGAGTAATAGGACCATTCCCAAAAACTTGTTCTATCTCTTCATATAATTTTTTTTGAACTTCTTCAGAGGTGGTTAAAAAACAGATTGCCCAGGTACACACTAGGTGAAACATTATATGAATAATAATGAAAATAGCTAACTCATGACAGGTATAGAGTAAGAAAAAACTATTTGGTTTGGGGATTTTGTATTTGCTTCTTTTCCCCTATAATATAGAAGATATACATAAGTGCTACCAAAAAGTAAAATTCTTCACAAGGTTTGCATTTCACTGAATGGAACATCAATATTTACAGAATGCCCTCCAACAGACATAGTGCAATCTAGATGCCTCCTTTCTTTTTTTTTTTTTGTTGAGACAAGGTCTTAAGGCTGGAGTGCAGTGGCACGATCTCAGCTCACTGCAATCTCTGCCTCCTGGATTCAAGCAATTTTCCTGCCTCAGTCTCCCTAGTAGCTGGGATTACAGGCACCTGCCACCATACCCAGCTAAGTTTTGTATTTTTTGGTAGAGACAGGGTTTCACCATGTTGGCCAGGCTGGTCTTGAACTTCTGACCTCAGGTGATCCACCTGCCTCGGCCTCCCAAAGTGCTGGGATTACAGGTTTGAGCCACCTGACCTGGCCCAGATGCCTCCTTTCATAAAACTGGTAAGTAACTGGAGCCACTTAATTTTACCTTAGGTAAAATAGTTATGATAATAAATAAATTTCATATCTGTAGGAATGCTCAATGTTGGCTATTGTAATGGATTATCTGATTCACTCAATCTTATACAAAAAGCTGATTTAGAGTTCTTAGGAGCACTAATGAAATGATTCAGACAAATCAAGCTAGCAGATTTATCGATAAATCAATATTCTAAAATTTTTACTTGTGATGGTAAATACACTGGCTCAAAATTTGTGACTGGTTACTGCTTAGAACAGTGGTTCTCAACCAGGCATGGTGGCTCACACCTGTAACCCCAGTACTTTGGGAGGGGATTGTACAGAGGGGATCATTTTGGAAGGGGATCTGAAGCTGGCAGATTGCTTGGGCTAAGGAGTTCGGGACTAGTCTGGGCAATATGGCAGAACTCCATCTCTACAAAATACTCAAAAGTCAGCTGGGCATGGTGGTATGTGCCTGTAGTCCTAGCTACTTGGGAGGCTGAAATGGGATGATTGCTTCTGCCCAGGAGGTTGAGGCTGTAGTGAGCTGTGACCGTGCTACTGCACTCCACCCTAGGCAAGTGAGGCCCTCTCTCAAAAAAAGAAAAGTGGTTCTCATAAACCACCTGGGAGATGGCTGATGCTGTAACCACACATTCACATATTCTGATTCAGTATGTTGTGGTAATGTCCAAACATCTGTACTTTTTTTCATTTTTTATTTTTATTTTTTTGTCACTTTCCTTTTGTCCTCTCATGTAAACATCTGTACTCTTAACAAATGCAATATCACATTTTTTTCGATTAACACCAAAACAGGAAGATCACTGGCTCATGGCTTACTTTAGCTTAAACTGGTTTATGGATTATATTCGCTGAGGAAATAAAAATGTAAAGCAATTACATGATGAGAAAAAAACAGAGGAAAAAGAGTAGCTATATTTCCTTTAGTAATCCACTGGGATTATAACTACTAAAAGAATGAAAACTTCTGAACATATATACTATCTCTTTCCCTAGAATATGTTTGAGCTGACACCATTTGTAGCTTGATTGTTCCTGTGTCAAATACTTTTTAATATGCTTATAGCGACCCGTGCCTTTACTTACCAATGATCTCTTTCCTGAGCTAAGGGTTAACTTAAACTTATCTCAAAGTTAATTTATTTAAAGATGTTTGCCTGATTCACCTTATTACCCATATCGTTATTATTAAAATCAGTAGTTACCTGGTACTCAATTACTCTGATTAGTTTTCTTACATCCAGAGTTCACAAAACACATGAGTGATTGCCTGTCCTTAACTTTTCCCTACATACAGGCTATGCCTTTTCATCATGGCTTTGAGTGAACTAGAGAATTTCTATTTTACAAGCGATATGAAAACTTGTGCAGTGCACAATATGTATGTTATATAATTTTACAACATACAGTAATATACATCTGAAGGATTTACCATAAAGATTTTCATACAGCGGTCACTTATCTACTCTGCTTGACTATATTATCACTTAAAATTAACAGGCCAGGTACAGGGGCACATGCCTATAATTCCAGCACTTTGGGAGGCTGAGGTGGGCAGATCATGAGGTCAAGAGATTGAGACCATCCTGGCTAACATGGTGAAACCCCGTCTCTACTAAAAATACAAAAATTATCTGGGCGTTTTGGCATGTGCCTGTAGTCCCAACTACTTGGAAGGCTGAGGCAGAACTGCTTGAACCCAGGAGGTGGAGATTGCAGGGAACTGAGATTGCACCACTGCACTCCAGCCTGGAGACAGAGTGAGACTCTGTCTCAAAATAATAATAATAATAATAAAACAATATGAATTTAATAATCTCACATTGGCTGGGCATGGTGGCTCATGTCTGTAATCCCAACACTTTGGGAGGCTGAGGCGGGCAGATCACAGGTCAGGAGTTTCAGACCAGCCTGGCCAAAATAGTGAAACCTCCCCTCTACTAAAAACACAAAAAATTGGCCAGGTATGATGGCGGGCGCCTGTAGTCCCAGCTACTTGGGAGGCTGAGGCAGGAAAATCGCTTTAACCCGGGAAGTAGTGGTTGCAGTGAGCCAAGATTACACGACTGCATTCCATCCTGGGTGACAAAGTGAGACTCCGTCTTAAAAAAAAAAAACAACATTCACATTGACTTTTTGTTTGTGGGTTTTTCTTTTGTTTTTGTTTTTTAAGATAGGGTCACGCTCTGTCAAGGCTGGAGTGCAGTGGCAGTGATTATGGCTTACTTGAGGCCTGTAATCCCAGCTACTTAGGAGGCTGAGGCAAGAAAATCGCTTGAACTGAGGAGGCGGAGGTTGCAGTGACCTGAGATCATGCCACTGCACTCCAGCCTTTTAAAGAAAGTTTCCTTAAATATTAAGGAATATAAATGAAATACTTTAAATAAACATAAATTTTATTTTCTTTTTTTTTTGTTTGTTTTTGTTTTTTTGAGACACTCTAGCCTGGCTAACAAGAGCAAAACTCCATCTAAAAAAAAAAAAGCTTGATTATTTTTGACATATGCTTACCTAAATTCAATTTAATCTATAGTATCTGGACATTTCTACATGTCAAAGAAGAAACATTTATGGGAAGTTTACATTTGTACTCATCTTTTTTTTTTTTAGATGGAGTCTCACACTGTGGTCCAGGCTGGAATGCAATGACACAATCTTGGCTCATTGCAACATCCGCCGCCCAGGTTCAAGCAATTCTCCTACCTCAGCCTCCCAAGTAGCTGGGATTACAGGCTCTGGCCACCATGCCCAGCTAATTTTTGTATTTTTAGTAGTGACGTAGTGACAAGGTTTCACTGTCTTGGCCAGGCTGGTCTTGAACTCCTAACCTCATGATCCACTCGCCTCAGCCTCCCAAAGTGCTGGGATTACAGACATGAGCCACGGCGCCTGGCCTGTACTCATCATTTTAAAGAAAGCTTCCTTAAACGTTAAGGAATAAAAATGAAATCCTTCAAGTAAACATAAATTTTCTAAAATTTAAATTGATGTCCTAATACTTTTTTTTTTTTTTTTTTTTTGACAGAGTGTCTTGCTGTGTTGCCCAGGCTGGAGTGCAGTGGCACAATCTTGGCTCACTGCAACTTCTGCCTCCCAGGTTCAAGCGATTCTCCTGCCTCAGCCTCTTGAGTAGCTGGGACTACGGGTGCATGCCACCATGCCCAGGTAATTTTTGTGTTTTTAGTAGAGACGGGGTTTTACTATGTTGGCCAGGCTGGTCTTGAACTCCTGAGCTCGTGAACCACCTGCCTTGGCCTCCCAAAGTGCTGGGATTACAGGCATGAGCCACTGCGCCCAGCCTCCTTTTATTTTTTGACAGGGTCTCACTCTGTCACACAGGCTAGAGTTCAGTGGTTCGATCATGGCTCACTGCGACCTCAACCTCTTGGACTTAAGTGATCCTCCCACCTTAGCCTCCCAAGTAACTGAGATTACAGCTGTGCACCACCAGGCCTGGCTAATTTTTGAATTTTTTGTAGAGATGGGGTTCCGCCCTCTTGCCCAGGCTGGTCTCAAATTCCTGGGCTCCAGTGATTCATCTACCTTGGCTCCCCAAAATGCTGGCATTATAGGTGTGAGCCACCTTGTCTGGCCCTCTAATACTTCCTTTAAGCATTTTTATCTTAGTATATTTTTATGCCTATAGAAGTATTTTTATAAATACTATATAAATGAATGGTATACCACCGATCTAAAAACCAGGAAGGGAACCTAGAAACATAACAAATATTTTCCAATTTTACATAAAAATCACTTTGAATTAGGAGTTCTTTTAAATCCTCTCTGTGGCCTATATACTCTGTTGGTAGACCTTAATAACAGCAGACTGACTTGGAGTCAATGTGAAAAGCAGCAGCAGGAAATGAAAAAGCTCACTGTTACGGTTGGAAAGGTGTCTACGGCAGTTCATTTTAAGGAACTAACTAGAATTCACAAGCCATAAAATGTGTCAAGAAATTTATGGCAATTTGCAGAAGTGGCTTTAAGCACTTAGGGTTAAGAAAAAAAAACATCTATGTGAGTGGGCCCTTTAAAACAAGACTAAAAAAGAGGGAAAAGAAATTATAAAGAAGTCCTCTAAACAGTGTTTTATTTTTGTTTGCTTTCAGATAGTCTTGGTCTGTTGCTCAGCCTGGAACACTATGGTGTGATCATCACTCATTGCTGGGCTCAAGTGATCTTGCCTCAGCTTCCTGAGTAGCTGGAACCACAGGCGTGTGCCACCATATCCAGCTAGTTTTTATTTTTAGCAGAGACGAGGTCTCACTATGTTGCCCAGCCTGGTCTTGAATTCCTGGGCTCAAGCGATCCTCCTGCCCTAGCCTCCCAAAGTGCTGGGATTACAGATGTGAGTCACCATGCCTGGCCTCTTTTTTTTTTTTTTCTGAGATTTCTGAGATTTTCGAGATTTCTGAGACAAAATCTCGCTCTGTCGCCAGGCTGGAGTGCAGTGGCACAATCTAGGCTCACTGCAACCTCCGCCTCCCGGGTTCAAGCAATTTTCCCGAGTAGCTGGGACTACAGGCACGTGCCACCACGCTAATTTTTGTATTTTTTATTTTTTTTAATTTTTTAAATTATTTATTTATTTATTTTTTTTTTTTGAGACGGAGTTTCACTCATGTTACCCAGGTTGGAGTGCAATGGCGCGATCTCGGCTCACCGCAACCTCCACCTCCTGGGTTCAGGCAATTCTCCTGCCTCAGCCTCCTGAGTAGCTGGGATTACAGGCATGCACCACCATGCCCAGCTAATTTTTTGTATTTTTAGTAGAGACGGGGTTTCACCATGTTGACCAGGATGGTCTCGATCTCTTGACCTCGTGATCCACCCGCCTCGGCCTCCCAAAGTGCTGGGATTACAGGCTTGAGCCACTGCGCCCGGCCTAATTTTTCTATTTTTTAGTAGAGATGGGGTTTCACCATGTTGGCCAGGATGGTCTCGCTTTCTTGGCCTTGTGATCTGCCTGCCTCGCTCGGCCGCCCAAATTGCTGGGATTACAGGCGTGAGCCACTGTGCCCGGCCATTGTTTGGTTTTTTTTTTGAGACAGGGTCTCTGTTGCTCAGGGTGGAGTACAATGGTGCATTCACAGCTCACTGTAGCCTCCATCCTCCTGATTCAGCCTCTTGAGTAGCTGAGACTACGGACACAGGTCATCATGCTCAATTAATTTTTTTTTGTAGAGAGAGGGTCTCTGTTTTCTGGGCTGGCCTCCAATTCCTGGCCTCAAGCAATCCTTCTACCTCAGCCTCCCAAAGTGTTGGGATTACAGGTATATGCCACTGTTCAGCCTGTATATTTGAATCCATCTGAAAAAGAAATCAATTTATACTTACATTTTGCAGTTATTATGCAACTGGCCAGAGAAAATATCATACTGTCTTCTAGGATCTAGGAAACAAAACTAAGTTTAGAAAGTGTGAAAAATGTAAGGTAGCCTATATTAGGCCCTGCTAAAATGATCTAGAGCATAAAATTAGGGTCAATGAAAAAAAAGTATATTATTTCATTATGATGTTTTCATTAAAACAAAAAAATAAAAATCTGTATAATGTCAATACCAAGCTAAATACCACATTGCTTTTTAAAAATATTTTTAAAACTGATATAGTTGTATGTATTTTGGGAGTACAAATGATATTTTGGTACATGTATCCAACGTATAATGATCAAATCAGGGTATTTGTTGTGAATATTACTGGTTCACGATATACTGTGACAAATAAACTCAGTCCTATTTTTCTGGCTTAGCCTGGTGAACAGCAATGAAGCCTCAGAAATAGGACAGAAGATCTCATCACTGTCCTGGAAGCCTAATTCAATGTCTGTACCAGCATATACCAAACTACTTCTGGCAACAAGGACTTGCATGTGTAGAGTGGGGCAGAAGATTCCTACAATTAAGAGGTGTGACAATAACAATTCACCTCATTGGCCTGAGAATACTACAAATGCAGTGGTATGCTGGAGGTATTGTGAACAAGACACATTGCCATACCTGGTCATGTAGGTAAAGTGATTTAGTTGAATACAATTAACACAAGTCCTTCTCCTCTTTTGTAATTCAGGGTCAATTTAATAATATTAAATAATATACAGCTGCCTCAAAGAGTGAAATAGAGACCAAGTACTTGTACTACCAATGATGTACAATAAAAGATGCACAATGCAGCCAGGCGTGGTGGCTCATGCCTGTAATCCCAACACTTTGGGAGGCCAAGGAGGGCAGATCATGAGATCAAAGTGATCAAGACCATCGTGGCCAACATGGTGGAACTCTGTCTCTACTAAAAATACAAAAAAATTAACTGGGTGTAGCGGAGTGTGCCTGCAGTCCCAGCTACTTGAAAGGCTGAGGCAGGAGAATCACCTGAACCTGGAAGGTGGAGGTTGCAGTGAGACAAGATCGCACCACTATACTCTAGCCTGGCAACAGTGAGACTCAAGTCTCAAAAGAAAAAAAAAAAAGATGTACAATGCTTCTTTAAGCCAGTATCTGGATTAAAGTGAATGAAAAGCACACTCTGTATATGTGTTATTATTATTATTTTTTTTTATAGATGGCGTCTTGTTATATTGCCTAAGTTGGCCTTGATCTCTTGGGTTCAAGTGATCCTCCCACCTTAGCCTCTCAAATAGCTGGGACTGTAGTCATGAGCCACTGTGCCTGGCTGTGGCTTATTTTTTACCAATAGACATTTAACAATTACATCACCTGTTGATCATTAAGGTTCCCCTGTACTAAGGAGTCAATGAAAACATGTTGACTGAAGTTCTTTCCTTTTCGTTCTTTTATGATGTTCTTTAAAATAGACTCCAGTTGCATAAGGGCTTACAGAAAAAAAAAATGATTTCAGAATATATGCATTAATGGAGATTGAACTTTTAAAAAATAATTCTGCACAATGTTACTATGCACAGAAGAAAACCTTCAAAGTTAGTAACCAACAACAAAGAAAGCTAATTTATGTTTAAACGCATCTATTCTCCTCCTCCTTTTTGCCAAATTTAACATACATACAAAAAAGTGCACAAAGCACATAAGTACAGTTTAAGGAATAATTATAAATCACCACCACCCAGGTCAAGAAGTTGAACAATGCCAGCACTTCACTTTTTCTTTTTATTGATTTTTTTTTTTAGTCAGAGTCTTGCTCTGTTGCCTAGGCTGGAGTGTAGTGGTGTGATCTTGGCTCACTACAGCCTAGACTTCCCAGGCTCTGATGATTCTCCTATCTCAGCCTCCCAAATAGCTGGGACTACAGGCATGCTACCATGCCCAGCTAATTTTTGTATTTTTGGTAGAGATGGGGTTTCACCATGTTGGCCAGGCTGGTCTCAAACTCATGGGCTCAAGCAATCTGCCCATCTCAGCCTCTCAAAGTGCTAGGATTACAGGCGTGAGCCACCACACCCAGTCTAATACCAGCACTTTAAAGGCCTCCAAACACGTAAGCCTTTCTTTCTTGCTATCACTCCGATCCTTCCTTCTAAATTCTGTCTTCTTAACTCCATTCCTTCTCCCAAATCAGGAATCACTTATTTAGGGATAGAAACAAGACGTAAAATAATCAGAAAAGTAAATTTCTAAAAATCTGAAAGAGGCTGGGTGTGGTGGCTCACGCCTGTAATCCCATCAAGATGGTGAAACCCCATCTCTACTAAAAACACAAAAATTAGCTGAGCATGGTGGCAGGTGCCTGTGATCCCAGCTATTCAGAAGGCTGAGGCAGGAGAATTGCTTGAACCTGGGTGGCAGAGGTTGCAGTGAGCTGAGACTGCACCACTGTACTCCAGCCTGGGCAATAGAGTGAGACTCTATCTCAATAAATAAATAAAATAAAATAAAAAGACATAAACAACTGATATCCCATGGCCCATAAAATTATCCACAAATACATTTCAGTCTTCATCTTATTTGACCTGTCATACCACTGATGATATTGTAATGTACTCCCCAAGAAACAATTTTTCATGTGGCTCCCAGGAGTTTACTCCCCTAGACTCCACACTTCCCTCCCACTTTACTGCCTGCTCATTTTGTCTCCTTTTATGATTCTTTTTCAATCTCTTGAATTTCTCAGTAATGAAATGTTCAAGGACAGGGCTCTGTCTCTTTTTGTGTCTATATTCACTACCTGGTGATCTTTAATCTCAAGGCTTTCAATGCAGTATATGTACCGCACACTTCCAAATCTGTATTTCCAGTCAGGACTTCTTTCTCTTCAGCTCCAGACTCATCTCTGCCTCCTGGTTCAAACAGTTCTCCTGACTCTCAGTCTCCTGGGTAGCTGGGATTACAGGCACCCACCACCATGCCTGGCTTATTTTTGTATTTTTATTAGAGGCCGGGTTTCACCATGTTGGCCAGGGTGGTCTTGAACTACTGACCTTATGATCCGCCTGCCTCGGCCTCCCAAAGCGCTGGGATTACAGGCGTGAGCCACTGCACCCGGCCTCATATATCCAATTCTAATAACAAACTCAACCTCTGGACTTGGATGTCTGAAACATACCAAACATACTGAGCTCGAGCTTTCCTCCAAAACCTGGATCTTCTCACAGTCTTCCCCATCTTATTTCTTGACAACCTCCTTTTACAATTAGGCCGAAAACCTTGGTGTCTCCCTCTCCCTTATACCTTAATTATAATACATCAGTCAACATTGGTAGGTCTATCTTCAAAGTACCAAATTATTTTCTTACTCCTTTTTTTCCCTTATTCTATATTTTCTGTTGCCTGCCACTTGGTCCAAGCCACATTATCTCTCAAGCCTGGTTCACTCCAATAGCCCTCTGACTAGTTTCCCTGCTTTTGCTCTGGACCCATTCAGTCTATCATATCAGCCAAAGTGATCCTTTGATAACATAACTCAGATTGTAGCTCTGCTCAAAGCCTGCCAGTGGCTTGCTATCTCATAGTAACAACCTAGTCACACAATGGTCTCTAAGCCATACAAAACCCCTTCCTCTCTCCAGTCTTTCTCTCCTCATCTCCTTCTGCTCCTCTTCTTACTTCACTCCAGCCATACTGATCTTCCTATTGTACTTCAAATACAGCAGGAACAGTCCTACTTCAAGGACTCTATAATTACTTTTCCTCTACATGGAATATTCTTCCGTTGAACATCTTGAACATCTGGGTATCCAGATGTTCTGCATGACTGGTTTCATCTCTTGCAAGTGTTTACTCAAAAGTCACCTCATCTTGGTGAGGCCTTTTCTAATAATTACTTAAAATTGCAACCTCCCAACCCCCTGCACTCCCTATCCCCTTCTGGTTTTATTTGTCTCTATAGCATTTTTCACCTTTTAATGTACTATTCAATTTACTTATTTAGATTACTGTCTGTTTCTTCCCACTAGAATGTGGTGCCAAAAAGGCAAGAAATTTTGTTTACGTTCCTCAGCAACCAAAACATGCCAGGATATCATAGATCTTTATTAAATATTTATAGGACTGAATCAATATAATACATATTTGTGATTAAAATGAGAAATTATTGCTGAGCGCGGTGGCTCACGCCTGTCATCCCAGCAGGCGTGGTGGGCAGATCACTTGAGGTCAAGAGTTTCAGATCAGCCTGGATGGTAAAACCCCATCTCTACTAAAAATACAAAAATGAGCTGAGCATGGTGGCAGGTGCCTGTCCTCTCAGCTACTTGGGAGGCTGACGCGGGAGAATCGCTTGAACCCGGGAGGCAGAGGATTCAGTGAGTCAAGATTGCACCACTGTACTCTAGCCTGGGCGATAGAGTGAGATTCCGCCTCAAAAAAAAAAAAAAAATTTTCACCAGTTTGAAATTGCACAGTTCAGTGGCATTAAGTATCATGATGTTCTATAGCCATCACCACCATCCATTTCAAAAAAAAAAAAAAAAAGATAAGAAATTATTAACACTGTAAAGAAGCTGTTCCCAGACTTTGCTACACATTAGAATCACCTGAGACGTTTTTTCAAACAGTAAAACACAAGTCACACCTCATATCAATTAAATCCGAATGTTTACAGGTAGAAGGCAGGCTTCAATATAAAAGATTCAATGTGTAGCAAAGTTTGGGAACTACTGTTGTACATTCTCAACCCTACAAGTACATTAGAATAATCTGGAGCGCTTTCACAAAAATACCTGATGTCCATGGCATCCCCATCTCAGATTCTGAATAAACTGGTCTAGGATAAGGCCTGATCTTCAGGTTTTGGGCTTTAAGTTCCCCAACTGATTTTAATGTGCAAATCAGGTTGGAAATTAAACAAAGGAAGCTCTGATCCAGTCATGGGATCCGACTTTTATAACACTAGAACATAACCATTTTCAATAAAAGCTCAAATCTGATCTATGCCCATGTATGCAGCCCAAGGAACACATCATGCCAGACAATTTTTATTTAGAATCAAAGAATATAAATTATTTTCATTTCATGTTAATTTAACCAATATTCCTGAAATACATTTTTTATCAAGGGGAATTAATCCAAATGCACCGATCAAGATAATCATAATGGTCATAAAAACCAGATAGCAGGAAATGTGTCCATTAAACTGGCTTTTTTTTTAATCTTTTTTACATCTGTTGGCCCAAGAAAATCACTACAGTAAGCTAATGAGGACAAGGATATCTGTCTCCTGTGCATAGAGTAAGGCCTAGCACAGCCTCAATGTTTGTTGAAAGAATGAAGAAAAAAAATCCTGTGAAGCAAAACTGTAATGTATAGAAAACAATCCATTATTCCAATGCAGCCTCTGTATTTTAAGTTATCCTGCATGCTTCCAAAAAATGAAATGAAGTATCTTAGAATAAAAGTATTGGCCAGGCATGGTGGCCCATGCCTGTAATCCCAGCACTTTGGGAAGCCAAGGTGGGCAGATCACGAGGTCTGACCAGCCAACATGGTGAAACCCCGTCTCTACTAAAAATACAAAACTTAGTCAGGCATAGTGATGCACACCTGTAATCCCAGCTACTCAGGAGGCTGAGGCAGGAGAATCGCTTGAACCCAGGAGGTAGAGGTTGCACTGAGCTGTGATCGCGCCACTGCACTCCAACCTAGGCAACTCTGTCTCAAAATAATAATAATAATAATAATAATAATAATAACAACAACAACAACAACAACAAAACAGCAGTAATAATAAATTTTAGAAAGTATTAAAGCTTTTTTTATTTATATTTTATTTTTTTAAGACGGAGTTTCACTTCGTCACCAAGGCTGGAGTGCAATGGTGTGATCTTGACTCACTGCAACCTCCGCCTCCTGGGTTCAAGTGATTTTCCTGCCTCAGCCTCCTGAGTAGCTGGGATTACAGGCGCCCACCACCATACCTAGCTAATTTTTTGTATTTTTAGCAGAGATGGAGTTTCACCATGTTAGCCAGGCTGGTGTTGAAATCCTGATCTCAGGTACTCTGCCTGCCTCGGCCTCCCAAAGTTCTGGGATTACAGGTGTGAGCCACCATGCTCAGCCTAAAGCTTTATAATTATTCAACCACTGACAGAAAAAAAGAGTAAGGCAGAGTAATTAATTTGGGACAGCTATCTTATATTAAAATTGCTATTTTTCTGTGTGAACTGTATAAAGTTGTAATCAGTGCCAAACAATATTGAAAATATTTTTATTCAATGTTATGACAAAAATTTTTTAGGTTGCAATTTTTTTTTTTTTTTTTTTGAGATAGAGTCTCACTCACCCAGGCTGGAGTGCAGTGGCATGATCTCGGCTCACTGTAACTTTTGCCTCCAGGGCGCAAGTGGTTTTCATGCCTCAGCCTCTTAAATTGCTAGGATTTCAGGTATATGCTGCTATACCCGGCTAATGTTTTGCATTTATTTAGTAGAGGTAGGGTTTCACTATGTTGGCCAGATTGGTCTCGAACTCCTGGCCTCAAGTGATCCGCCTATCTTGGCATCCCAAAGTGCTGGGATTGCAGGTGTGAGCCACCATACCAGGCCTACATTGCTAATTTTAAAAAATTTTCTGAGATGGGGTCTCTTACTACGTTGCCTATGCTGGGCTGAGCAACGGAGTGAGAGACCCCATCTCAAAAATTTTTTTCATCTCAAACTCCTGAGTTGAAGTGATCCTCTCCACTCAGCCTCCCAAGTAGCTGTGACTACAGGTATGTGCTACCATGGCTGCCATTTTTTACAAATATCTGTAATATTTAATCATGTTGACGTTATTTCCCTACTAATTCCTATAGTGTTGAACATTTATAGTTTGTTCCTGGTTACAGAACAAACTACTTGCTCTACTTGCAGAAATAGTACTACAAAATATACCTTCATGAATATTGTCTTGTTTCATATAATTTCATCCATTATTTATGGTTTTCAGTATGCAGTATCAAACTGCTTTCTTAAGATTGTACCCTTATACTTTCCATTAATCCTGTAGAGTGTATCAGCTCTATAGCACTCTCATTGTGCAGTGAGTGCTAGAGTTTTACTAATTTAATAATTTTTCTTCACTTCTGTTAAAGAAAACTTTCATTGTAGAAAATGTAGAAAAAAAGCATAAAGAAAGAAAATATAAATGAACTTTAATCTCACTATTCAGAGATAACCTTATTAAAACTGGGCCACCTTCATTTTTTGTCCTCACTAAAAATTAAGAGTGACCAACTTACCATCTTCATATTGTTTTTTCCGAGTTGTATTTTTATCAAGTGATCCATCTAGAAAGCCTTTTCCAATCTCAGACCAAACCTGAAAATAGGTAAATACACATATCTATTATCTAATAGGTAGAATTTTTTAAGTAATACAGAGCAATGTAACCTAACAACTTAGGAACTTTTTTTTTTTTTTTTTTTTTTGAGTCAGAGTTCTGGCTCTATCACCCAGGCTGCAGTGCTGGAGTGCAATGGCACAATCAAAGCTCACTGCAACCTCCACCTCTCAAGCTCAAACCATCCTCCCACCTCAGCCTTCCAAGCAGCTGGGACTACAGATGTGTGCCACCATGGCCGGCTAATTTTTCTGTTTTTTGTAGCAATGGGTTTCACCATGTTTCCCAGACTGGTCTTGAACACCTAAACTCAAGTGATCCTCCCATCTCAGTCCCTCAAAGTGTTGGGATTCTACGCGTGAGCCACCCACCTGGCAGGAACACTTTTCTCACCAACAAATCTGATAATTAAACTCTCCTTTTCAACTGGCTGCACAATCCTTTACTCCATAGTCTCAGAGGAGAGGGTACAAAAATATTTTAATGATTTCAGTCAAGGCACTTTCAAACTAATAAGAAGTGGAAAGTGAAAAATTTCTTTTCTCTAAAAGGAGTAGGGACAAGAAAAAGGACACAGCAGTAAAGTCAGTCCTCATTTTTGTATTATACTGGCACAAGTGTAAAATAAAATTCACAGGTTAATTACAAATTTCTTTCACTTGTAATACTGATAAACACTGGCTGAGGTAAAGAAAAAGGTTATAAGTCTGAGATTTGGATATAAGCAGCAGAATAGGCTTCCAAATTTTCACAGCCCCTGAACAAACTTTAACCTGATTTTAATTCAAAAGTTCTAAAAGTGGGCTGGGTGCGGTGACTCATCTGTAATCTCAACACTTTGGGAGGCTGAGGTGAGCAGATCACGAGGTCAGGAGATCAAGACCATCCTCGCTAACACAGTGAAACCGTCTCTACTAAAAAAAAAAAATACAAAAAATAAGCTGGGCGTGGTGGCGTGCACCTGTAGTTTCAGCTACTCAGGAGGCTGAGGCAAAAGAATAGCTTGAACCCAGGAGGCGGATGTTGCAGTAAGCCGATATCATGCCACTGCACTCAAGCCTGGGGAACAAAGCCAGAGAACTTAGGGAAAGGACACAACACTTATTAATTAAAGGCAAAATACTGTATTTGAAAAACAATAAATTTTAAAAAGTCCTCAATGCTTACCTTAAATGCAAACATTTCAGATTAAATGTAAAAAAAATCAAATTACTAAAACTACTGTAAAAATTAATAGTAGGCCAAGTGGCTCACACCCATAATCCCAGCACTTTGGGAGGACAAGGCGGGCAGACTGTATGGGCTAAGGAGTTTGAGAACATGGTGAAACTCTTTCTCTGTGAAAAATACAAAGAATTAGCCAGGTGTGGTGGTGAGCATCTGTGGTCCCAGCTAACTCAGTAGGGTTAGGTGGAAGGATAGCTCGAGTCTGGGAGGTGGAGGCTGCAGTGAGCTGAGATTGCAGCACTGCAGCCTAAAAAAAAATAAAATAAAATAAAAAAAGAAAAAGAAAAAGAAGCAAATATTTACATAAAACCCTTAAAGTTTGAAAGGAGTTTCTAAGCCTGACAGAGCACAGGGCACAAATTCACAATGAAAGAGTTAAATTGATTTAGCTACATAAAAACATTAATATTTGTGATACTGAAAAAATAGCACAAAGCTTTTATTTACTTACTATAAATAAATGTAGAAGCAAATGAAAACTGAGACTAAAAATAAACAGCTATTCTAGATTAGTAAGAAAAAGAAACACAATAGAAATTCAGGCAATTCAATAGAAATACAGGCAAAAGAGCCAGGTGGGCCTAAAATCCTAGCTATTTGTGAAGCTGAGGTCGGAGGATCCCTTGAGCCCAAAAGTTTGAGACCAGTCTGGACAACAGGGTGATACTGTGTCACAAAAAAATCAAATAATGAAGAAACATAGGCAGAGGACGTAAGAAAACATCCCACAAAAGAAACCCAAGTGTTTAATAAAAGTATAAAAATATGATTTTTGGTTTTCTGTTTTTAAAACAGTGTCTGTCTCTGTCTCCAAGGCTGGAGTTCCATGGCACAATCACGGTTCACTACAACCTCCACTTCCTGGGCTCAAGCAATCCTCTGGCCTCAGCCTCCCAACTAGTAGGGACTACAAGAGTGCGATACCACACCCAGCTAATTTTTGTGAGTTTTCTGGGTAAAGATGGGATTTTGTCATGTTGTCTAGGCTGGCCTCAAACTCCTGGGCTCAAGTAATCCTTCTGCCTTGGGCTTCCCAAAGTGCTAACATTATAGGCGTGAACCACTGTACACACAGCCAAAAAGATGTTTAACTTCATAAGTAATAAGAGAATTATACATTTCAGGCCGGGAGTGGTGGCTCACGCCTGTAATCCCAGCACTTTGGGAGACTGAGGCGGATGGATAACTTGAGGTCAGGAGTTCGAGACCAACATGGTGAAACCTGGCCAACATGGTGAAACCCCATCTCTAGTAAAAATACAAAAATTAGCTAGGTATGGTGGCAGGTGCCTGTAATCCCAGCTACTGGCAAGGCTGAGGCAGCAAAATTGCTTTAATCCAGGAAGCAGAGGTTGCAGTGAGCCAAGACTGTACCATTGTACTCCAGCCTGGGCGACAAGAGTGAAACTCTGTCTCAAAACAAAACAAAACAAAACAAAAAAACTTGCTGGGTGCAGTGACTCAAGCCTGTAATACCAGCACTTTGGGAGGCTGAAGCGAGTGGATCTCCTGAGGTAAGGAGTTCCAGACCAGCCTGGCCAAGATGGTGAAACCCCATCTCTACTAAAAATAACAAAATTAGCCGGGTATGGTGGCCCATGCATGTAATCCCAGTTACTCAGGAAGGCAAGGCAGGAGAATCACTTGAACCTGGGAGGCAGAGGTTGCAGTTAGCCAAAATCACGCCACTGCACTCCAGCCCAGGCAGCAGAGCAAGACTCTGTCTCAAAAACAACAACAAACAGCTATATATTTCAATCACAAAATGTCATTTTTGGCTTACTGGATAGGCAAATTTTTTTTTTTTTTTTTGAGACAGGTTCTCATTCTATCACTCAGGCTGGAATACAGTGGTGTGATCCTCCCAGGCTCAAATGATCCTCCTGCCTCAGTCTCCCAAGTAGCTGGGACTACAGGCATGCATTCCACCACACTTGAATAATTAAAAAAAATTTTTTTTTGTATAGGCCAGGCGTGGTGACTCATGCCTGTAATCTCAGCACTTTGGGAGGCCAAGGCGGGCGGATCACAAGGTCAGGAGATCGAGACCATCCTGGTCAACATGGTGAAATGCCGTCTCTAGTAAAATTAAAAAAAAAAAAAAATTACCCAGGTGTGGTGGTGTGTGCCTGTAGTCCCAGGAGGCTGAGGCAGGGGAATCGCTTGAACCCAGGTGGCAGAGGATGCCGTGAGCCGTTATCGTGCCACTGCACTACAGCCTGGGTGACAGAGCAAGACTCTGTCTCAAAAAAAAAATTTTTTTTTTTTGTAGAGATAGAGGTCTCACTGTGTTGCCCAGGCTGGTCTTGAACTTCTAGGCTCAAGTAATCCTCCTGCCTTGGCTTCCCAAAGTGCTGCGATTACAGGCATGAGCCACTGTACCTGGCCTAGAAAGGCAAATATTTAAGGACCAACAATTCTAAATGTTGTCAAAAGTACAGGGTAAGAGCACACTAATATTGGTGGAAAAATAGTTGGGACAATGTTTCTGGGAGGCAGTTAGGAAATACAATATGCAACTGAAAGCAAGATGTATGTTTTTTCATATTTTAACACCTGTGAAATCAGTATGCATCTTACAAGTGATGACATCTTCCAAATGTTTTTATCCAAGTGGCAGTCATGATGCAGTTGTCATTGGCTCTGAATTTATAAATTGGTTATTATTCTTGGTGGCATAACTGGACAATGGCAATCCCTTGGCATTTCAGACATTAAAAGATCATTTCAGGGGTGGGCAGGAGGATGATAAGAAATCACTTAGCCTTTCGGCCGGAACCGCCATCTTCCAGTAATTCGCCAAAATGAACACAAAGGGAAAGAGGAGAGGCACTCGATACATGTTCTCTAGGCCTTTCAGAAAACATGGAGTTGTTCCTTTGGCCATGTATATGCGAATCTATAAGAAAGGTGATATTGTGGACATCAAGGGAATGGGTACTGTTCAAAAAGGAATGCCCCACAAATGTTATCATGGCAAAACTGGAAGAGTCTACAATGTTACCCAGCATGCTGTTGGCATTGTTGTAAACAAACAAGTTA